ATTTATTTATTTGAGGAGGGGAGGGGCAGAGGGAGAGAATTTTTACACAGACTTCCCGCTGAGCATGGAGCCCCCGACCCAGAGCTTGATCCCAGGACCCTGAGATTATGACCTGAGCCAAAACTAAGAGTCGGATGCTCAACTGACTGAGCCACCCAGGTGCCCCCCACTGATTGATTATTTAATGTCTCAGTGCTTCTGTTTCCTCATCTCTTAAATGGGGATAATACTAGGACTAACCTCATAGGACTGTTATGTAAATGAGCTAAGAATAGTATCTAGCACATAGGCGTTCAACAAATACTGCCTATTATGATCAGCATTTGCATTTTTCAGTTTGAAAAATTCACTTCGGTTTTCTAAGTACACTGTAATGCTCTGCTCACAACAGCTAATCCTTATGTGGCTAACACTAAATGTTTTAATCAGAATAAGAGCATCATCGTTATTAACAACAACTCACCCTTGTACAGAGATTCCAGTGCACTTTGGCATGGTTCTGCATAGTACTGTATAGCTGGCCCCTCCTCAGTTCTCACAACTGTGGCTTCTTTCTCCCATTTTATAGATGTAGAAACTGAGGCAGAGAAAGGTTACGTACCTAAGATTATATTGCTAGTCAATGGTAGAGTCAGGATTTGAATCCAAGTAGTCTGGCTCCAATGTATGTACTCTTGATAATTTATACTGCCTCAAAAGAGCACATTATATTAACGCAGATATTCTCAACATGTTAAAAACAGGTTGAAGAGCTCCTGGGAGGCTCAGTCAGTTGAGCATCTGCCTTTGGCTCAGGTCATGATCCCAGGGTCCTGGGATCGAGTCCTACATTGGGCTCCTTGCTCAGCGGGGAGTTTGCTTCTCCCTCTCCATCTGCCTCTCCCCCTGTCTTATGCTCTCTCTCTCTCTCACTCTCTCTCAAATAAGTAAATGAAATCTTTAAAAAGCAAACAAAATACATAGCTTGATATCCAAAAGATTAAGAAAATTAGTTTAGGGATTCATGACCTTCTATGTCAAGATACCAGGGAGTCAAAGACCCTTCAGGATAAGCCCCAGCTCTTCCAATTTCCTGTTTTGTGATCTTTCACGAAGCAGATTAAGGTCTTATCTGTAAGTATGGGTTAAATAATTCCTGCCCTACTTTTTACATAGGGTTATTTTGGGGAATAAAATTGAATAAGTTCACGAAGTATCATTTTACAAAAAGTTTAGATATTAAAAAATTAAGCTAATGAGATGACACTGTTTTGCAAATTGCAAAGCTCTGTGCAGATAGCTTTTTAAAAGTTTCTTTCAAAAGGCTTAAAAAATAGTCGTAACAGGCTCTCACCTAGACTTCTGAAATAGATTCCAGACACTTCCCTGCCTCCAGTCTCTCACAATTGAGATCTGTTTCACAAACCATCATCTGATCAGTTGTCTAAAAACAAGTTATTCTCCCTTTAAAAATATTTTATAGAGAAATCCAATACCTATTGAAGTTATTATAAACCCCTTGGCTGTTAATCTGGGGACTACTGAGATATGGACCAAAGCTAACCACAACTGAACAGTGGAAACAGTCCTGCAACATGCTGACCCATGGCTTAGTCTTAGCTCTGAAAACAGGTAGTCTTGAAGAATTTAATAGCTCTCTGAAGTACAGTTTTTCATAGGTAGCACCTTGTGTCTACCAGGTATCCATGTAGCTACTGAGATACTGATTGAGCACTGGGCACATAAAGATGAATAAATTCATCTATAATTCAAAGCATATTCTTTGAGTCTACTGTTCAAATTATATTGCCCATTGTTTCCCAAAAAGCCCAACACTTACTTGCTACTCTATAATCCAGACTGATAGAGCTGGTAAACCTCCTATCTAGGCCAATCTCACCAGTCAATTGTCTTCTCATCTTTAAAGGTTTACCTTAAAGGCCATGATTCTAAGAAACCTTCCTTAATCCCTGAATGAGATGGTCTTCCTTCCACTTTTGAACACATGCAACATAGTGTTTTTTTTCTCTAATATACCTCTGCATGTATGATTTTCCAGATACAAATTCTATTATCCTCACTGGTTCTAGAGGTTCAACTGCTGAAGAGCAAGGCTGGTGTTTCTCCTGGTCACTCCAGCAGGGGCCAGCATAGTGCCTGATAAGACACTTTTAGAGGGTTAGGGCTTAGTGTTTCCAACTGTCTTGACATAAACAGGAAAGAGTCAAGACCCATACAGATCACATGCCATCCTCTGACAAGATGCATTGGGCAGGGCGCCTGGGTGGCTCAGTCGTTAAGCATCTGGCTTCGGCTTAGGTCCCGGTCCCAGGGTCCTGGGATCGAGCCCCACATCGGGCTCCCTGCTCAGCGGGAAGCCTGCTTCTCCCTCTCCCACTCCTGCTGCTTGTGTTCCCTCTCTTGCTGTGTCTCTCTCTGTCAAATAAATAAACAAAATCTTTAAAAAAAAAAAGATGCATTGGGCAGCAATCCTAGGATGGTGTAGCAACTCTTGCACCAATCTTATAATAGAAATAACCATGATAACTAGTGACAACAGTTATTAATACTTTATAACAAGATAACGTTAGGTTGCACCATATGAAATTCTTACCTACAAAAATAGCAAGTTCTTATGATCCAAACTAATATTTTGCTAATTTGTTATCTATCCTCCTCCCCCTACTCAACCTGAAGAGAGTCCCCATGAGAGCAGGCATAACCCCTCCAAAATTATTTATTTATCGGGGGGGGGGGGGCGGAAAGGGGGGGATGGGCAGAGGGAAGAGCGAGTCTCAGCGCAGAGCCCTATGTGGGGCTCTGTGGGGCTTGAGCTCCCAACCCTGAGATCATGACCTTGGCCAAAATCAAGAGTCAGGCGCTTAACCAACTGTGCCACCCAGGTGCGCTGAGAGCAGGCATTTTTCTACATTTTGTTCTCTGTTGTATCTCTAGTGCCTGGGACATAGTGGCATTCAGCAAGTATTTGCTGAATTAATGAATGAACCTGCTAAACACCAACTATTTGCCTTATACTCTACTACATGATTTATACCTTATAACGTGTTTGTTTCTTCCTTAACATCCTGATTACTGTTCATCAGGTGAGAAAACTGCGGTTGGTGAGGTCAAGTAACTCGTCCAAGACACTCTTGACTAATGTTTTATGGTAGGCCATTTGTATTTATGCTATAAAAGTTGTTTAAATTTAGGCTATCTTTCCTCCCTCAACTAGACCATGCACAGATTCTACTGGAAACAGTGAGAAAGAATTGTAATACTAAAAAGACAGGGAGGTGAGGAGGGGAGGGAAATAGAAAGAGGGAGCAGTAAGTGGGTATGGGGAAGGCTTCCATCTTGGTGAAATGCAGTATAAAACAGTATCTAAAAACTACCCTTAGCCCTTCAAGTCCTCTGCTTGAGGGTGGGACCCTTTAGTTGTCTTGACACTTGGAGCCCCATCACTGGCATTACTTTCTTGGGAACAGCAAGTGGATAATGGATGGTGGTTGCCTATAGCCTACAAGGGAATCTCTTTGGACTACCAGACTCTTCTGGCAAGCAGGGGAGTGTTCTCACCCTTTTTACCATTGCCTCTGTGGATTGCATTGGAGGCCCCTACTTACAAAACCCCTGTTGCTTTACAAGACTTTTCCCTAACCTATCTATGGAGATACAGTGCCCCCAAAAACCCACGTTAATAGTATTTTTAAATGAATTTTGAGTTCAAACTTTGTGGATGTTACTCACTCCCCTTCCAGTGCAAATATGCTGTTTGTCTTTTAGAAAGGGAACAGCGTAAACTTGGAACATCTTGTTCAAGAACAATGGTTACAATCTGTTAGTCCCAGTGTTCTTGAGGCCAGGGTTCTTGGGTCCCATTTACAATTTGCCCAGGAGTAGCCCATTGTCATTTCCACTTTTGCTGAAATGTCCTTTTCCTTCTGCCTGAAAGAATCAGTTTCTTTTCTAGGACACAGAATCTAAGACAGTCCCAATATACATTTTCTAAAAGTTGAAAGAAGACAAATGATTTCTCTCTCTGAAGTAAAATGAACAACTCTGTGCTGCCACAAAATCAGGGTGACCCTCCCAAGTGATAATTCTTTGAGATTTCTAAGATATTTTGAAATGGAGAGAAAAAGCACACATTTCTTTCTAGAACTTGTAGTCTAACCCTGTAAGTACAAGGCTGCAAAACAAAAAAAGATGGACTGTGAATGAAAGCACAGGAGTCAGACTGAATGGAGGTGAATCTCCAGGTCTACAGCATTCTAGTGAGTGGCCTCTGGTAATTTAGTGAACATCATCAGCCTTTGGTTTCTTCATGTGTAAAAGCAGGGTATTGCCACCTACACTGTAAGGATGAGGAAATTAACGTAGCATGCAGCACAGTACCCAGTACCCAGTAAAAGTTCAATAAATATGAAATAAAATATCAGGCATTAAAATATATAAGGAGGGAGCGTTCTCTAAAACTGACTCTCTTTGGGGCAGCTAGCTGGATCAGTTGGAAGAATATGTGACTCCTGATCTCTGCGTTGTGAGTTCGAACCCCATGCTGGATGTAGAGATTACTAAATAATAATAATAATAATAATAATAAATAATAATAAACTTAAAACAAACAAACCTGACTCTCTTCTAATGCTCCAGCCCCTGGGTGAGTTTAACCATCTTTTACTATGAATCAATGGAATACATTTAACATCTTTTTCTGTTCCTTTAGGGACTAATTGAAGATAGCCCTAGCCTTAAAGAAGCCCAATATTAAACAAGATTAAAAGAGAAATTACTTCTTTTGTCCCAGACAGCACAATTCAAGTGTGAAGAAAATAGGAGAATATGCTATTCGTTGGAATTAATGGATCACTCCATATGGAAAAGCTTCTACTAGCTCAGAGATCAAGATTCCTAGAGAAATAAACACAACACAAATTGATCCTTTCCATGGTGGTACAAAATATAAATCATACACCTTTAAAAAAGAACACTGGATGAAAAACACCCAGGATTCTTACCAGTTTGGAGCTTTCATTTTCAGGCAACTGTTTAATACCAACTTCGAGACTGCCATCTTCCTCACTGCTAACAGGTTCAGTACCACTCTGATCCTATGGGACATTAAGAAGAAAATGGTAAAGATGTTATTCTTCACTCACACTGCCCAGAACTATATAGATACTCAACCACAATAGCTTCCTTTATTATTGTTGTAGATACTGTTTCCTCTCTAGTGGCCATTCCTATTTTCCTCCTTTCCACTAGAAGGTCATCCCCACAACCTCTGCCCCTACCCAACCCCCCCCGGATCTGTCCCTGCTGCTTACAGATATGCCTTAGAAAAAGCTGATCCCTATTCTCTGTTCCAAAGTTGGGCCTGATTGTCTTATGGTTAATCCCAATCTTTTTGCCAATGACTTTGCCAGGAGTGGGTATGCGATCCAGTTCTGCTCAATGAGACACAAAGAGACTTCTAGAAAAGTTCTTCTTGGTCTTCTTCTTCTTCTTCTTTTTTTAAGATTTTTATTTTTTAAGTAATCTCTATACCCAAGGTGGGGCTTGAACTCACAATCCCTAGATCAAGAGTTGCATGCTCCACAGACTGAGCCAGCCAGGTGTCCCAGTTCCTCCTTGGTCTTAAAAGAACCACAAGAAGATCCCCTACCTCCCACATGAGCAAAGTTGGAGATGGAAAAAGTAGACTCTGATGGCTAAAGTGGGCCATTGCATCAACCTGAACCGAAGTACAGTTTATTCTTAGCAGCCTTCACATGAGAGCTCATAAATTTATTGTTTCAGCCAGTTAGCTCTTCTATTCCCTCTAGCCAAAACTTTCTGAGATGCTTGTTTATCTTCTGTGCAAGATTAAACTACTTGAGATAAGAGACTGTATTTATCCTGTTTCTCTCTGAAACTCAAGTACCTAACACTATGTCTGGTACATGGAAAACACTGGATAAATCTTGGTTGAACCAATGAATGGAACAGTTGTTTTCTTGATGGTTTTTTTCTGCAGAATTCTAAAAATATTTATTTAATATAAATGAGACATAAGAATTAGCCCCATTAGAATTCCAAAACAGGGGCTCCTGGGTGGCCCAGTTGGTTAAGTGTCCAACTCTTGATTTTGGCTAAGGTCATGATTTCAGAGTCCTGGGATCAAGCCCATGCTCAGTGGGGAGTCTGCCTGCCATCCTCTCCCTGTGTCCCTCCCTCAGGTTGTATGTGTACGTTCTCTCAAATAAGTAAATAAAATTCAAAAACACATTCAGTATCTCAGTTGAATTGTAACATATTAAATGTTATACTTAATTAACCAGAAGTTTGTTTACTTTCTGAGGCCACATGGGGGGGAATAAGGATGATACATGGAGTATTTACATTCTATTTATTTGGATTTTTATATTAAAACACCACCATTTTGGGATTACTACAAATTTGGTGGGACTGTTTGGAGAGAAAATAGTTTAGATTTTGGGACATTCAACCTCAACTAACTTAAAGTAGTGCAAACTGAAGTAAAGATATAGTGTTCTTTCATCTATCGAATGGACAAGAGAATGGAAAAAAAAAACATTTAGTACTGATAATGTAGAGAAAGAGGAATTTTTACATGCCACTGAAAGAATATAGGTTTGAACAATTTTCAGAAAAAAGATACAAAATATAAACATATACAGATACGCATGCAGGAAAATATTTGTCAGGGTATAGGAGAAATTTTTTAAATTGCTTACTTCTGGGGAATAGGATTAAAGAATGGAGAATTGTTGCATTAGTTATTTCTATACTGTTTGAATTACAGAAGAATTCACATGTATTACTGCAAGTTTAAGAAATAAAGGGGAGCTATGAGAAATATCTAAAAGAAAACCAAATCTAACAAAGAAAGTAGCATAGGGGCACCTGGCTGGCTCAGTCAGAAGAGCATGTAACTCTTGATCTCGGAGTCATGAGTTCGAGCCCCACACTGGGTGTAAAGATTACTAAAACAAACAAACAAACAAACAAACAAAACCAAAACCCCCCAAAAACCAAAATCAAAACAAAAAACCTAAGGAAAAAAAAAAAGAATGGATAGTAAATTGGTCAGATCCAGGTTCAAATCTCAACTTGCAAATTAGAACTACATGACTTTCGGCAAGGGTCTTTCTGAGTACTTATTTTTAAAGCACAGATAAAAGTACCAGATTAAAAATAGTACCCCATCAGGTTGCCTTGAAGATTAATACATTAACATGCAAAATGTCTATTAGCACAACGCGAGGTGCAGTTAATTTGTTTCCAGCTTTTTGTTGAGACAGGTTCTTTATCCATCCCGTTCCGTGTAGTCTTCCTAACAACGCTGTATGAGTATGTACCAGTATCATTCCAATTCATGGACAGGAAGATACATTTTTTTTTTAAGATTTTATTTATTTGATAGAGAGATACACAGCGAGAGGGGAACACAAGCAGGGGGAGTGGAAGAGGGAGAAGCAGGCTTCCCGCGGAGCAGGGAGCCAGATGTGGGGCTCGATCCCAGGACCCTGGGATCAGAACCTGAGCTGAAGGCAGACGCTTAACCATCTGAGCCACCCAGGCACCCCCTTAATGAACACTTTTAATGATACATTTTTAAATGAACTTGCCTAGCTGGTGAGAGGCGAACCCAGGATTCAAAGCTAGGTAAGACTGACATCGAAGGTCTCATTCTTGTTAACTAAGCTCTAGGCCCTAAGTAAATGATTCTCTTGTTTCTTTTCTCTCTTTATTCCTTGTTAGCACTGAGTGTTGATAACTAATCTTATAGAAAACAGGATTCACAATCTTTAAAAAAAACATCATTAATTTTTAAACAGTGTTTTAGCATTTGTTAACCAGAAATTTTCATTAGGTACAATATCTTCCTCTCAGTGAATTTTGGGTAACCAAGAAGTCACCATATAAAATAAACATGCCCACTTTAAGCTTGAGAATATATAGATTTTCAGCATTTTAGACAGTGGGTAAATTACAGAGACAGAAAAATTCAGAAGAAACAAATTATACTTTTTATTTTTTAAAGATTTTATTTATTTATTTCATAGAGAGTGAGAGAGAAAGCACAAGCAGAGGGAGCAGCAGAGGGAGAGGGAGCAGCAGACTCCCCGCTGAGCAGAGGGTCCAACATGGGGCTCGATCTTGGGACTCTAGGATCATTACCTGAGACGAATAACCGCCTGAGCTACTCAGGTGGCTTTTAAAAACCAGTACTTACTCTATGGGAAACCTTTAATGTCCCAAATATTTTGTGTGTCTGCTTCTGTTAGCTGGGGTGAGCCCCAAAGAGGTCCTGGTTTGGGGGGGGCTATGCTATCCCACCGAGGCTTCAGGCTTCGAGAGAGTCAGTGTTTGTAACTGCAGCACATTCAATTATAGAACAAACACACAGGGAGCTCCTCTGATCACAAATGACAGGAGCTTTTCACCAGGACCGTGTTCAGCTGATGTCATTCATCTAATTATGCACATATCTTCCTGGGGAAAGCAAAGTGCTGTGTAAATAAGTCAGAGGAATCTTACATTTCTCAGCAATGTGAGTATAGAAGTGTTTTCTTGGTCTTTATAAAATGAATCCTGAAGTCGGGGAGAAACCAGTTGTTCGATGCTTCAACTTTGAAAACGTTAAGAAAACATGGGCAAAGCAGCTGAGGTTGTAAATGGGCTGTAGATCTTTTAAGATTTGAGTAAAAACAAAAAAGAATACCCTTTACATCTATACCTACAGAATTATCACACAATGCTGAGTCTCAAATGTCACTTACTCCATAAATCCTTTCCTTCTTAGCTAGAAGACATCTCTTCTCCCTCTAACCTCACTTAACGTTTTACCTGAACTTCCTATGTCACTTACCATCTCCTTTGTATCCTAATTACGTATGTACGGCATTGATCTTCCCAATGAGGCTGAAAGATCCTTGAATCCAACATCTGTGCCTCATTCATTTCCTTTGATTTCCTTTGTCTGATCCTTCTTTATATTCATCCTGGGTCTCTCTCATTTCAAAGTCAATGCTCTTTATAACTCTACTATGAACCGCTTCTAAAGCTTTTCCTCTGTTTTTAGTTACTGGGTTAGTTTGAGATGGTTCCAGAGAGGAGGGTTTAAAGTCAAAATCTAGATGGAGAGGAGTCAGGTAAAAAAGGAAGTTGGAGTTGAGAGAGGTTAGCAATAAAGCATGAGCTTTCCTAGGAGAGCTACTGCTTATAGAAGGCTTTTCATGCTGAAATGAGGCACAGAATGAAACAATGTGGGGTTCTGTTCTGAGAACAGAATGGCTCACATGTGTTAGGCAACCTTGAAAATACCCCGCTGACCAGGAGCTTAGAAATGGGGAATCAGTCAGGGATAGGAAGAGGAAAATAGGTCAGCAAGCATGACTTCCAAAGCACAATTGTATCACGGTGGTTTGAAGACCATCTGGCTGATGGATGGTGGCCCAGTGACACCCAAGGTGATTCAGCTAATTTGGGTAGCTGGGTGTTCCCTTCCTTTCTTGCTGATCCTCAAACCACCTGTCTAAAGCTGCCTGTGCAGGCAAGGCTGCTCAAGGGCAATGATCTTTCCCCACAAAGACCACAGACAGTAGCTTCTGTGGTGAATTATGTTTTTAAGATGAATAAAAAGAAAAGCAAGACTCGTGACTGTATGCCTAACACAGCCTTTAGCAAAAAAAAAAAAAAAAAAAAGGCAAGAAATGCTTTTCAATCGTCAGAGAAGTCCCTTCCAAACCTTCAGTAAGTTCCAAATTCCCTCCCCTGGGCTCCTTAAAAATCTACATAAAGTGATGATACTTTTTATTTTTATACTACTTAATTTTTCATACCTACTACTTACCTATAGTTTTCCCCAACTAGACAGTGGGAGAACCTTGAGAACAGGAATTTGTTGTTTTTTTTTTAAGATTTTATTTATTTGACAGAGAGAGAGAGGGAGAGAGCCAGAGAGCACAAGCAAGGGGAACAGCAGAGGGAACGGGAAAAGCAGGCTCCCTGTTGAGCAGGAATTTATGTTTTTATTTGAAAGCAGGTTATCTATCGGGGCGCCTGGGTGGCTCAGTCGGTTAAGCATCTGACTCTTGGTTTCGGC